AATTTGCTTTAATTGCTAAATTTTGATATACACTTCTTTTAAGACTAAACAGTTCCTAGAGAATTCAAGACTGCAAAGATTTCTTTGCTAAATGTATTATAGTTTGTATATACAGTACACAGTAACTACATGTACACTGTATATACAATTACAGTTTTATTTTTATAATAACTACAACCTAATAGTATCTACAAAAGTTTCAACTTTTAAATTCAATAATTTTTTTATTTGAATAAAATGCAATATTAAGTTAAGTTTTAGGATAAGCTAAATTGTAACTTTGACATAAGTTATATACTAATAATGCATAAAAGATGTGATAAAAATGTGATGTTACCAAAGATACAAGATATAAAATACTATATTTAAAAATGGGCTTGTGTTTATTCTAATATTTAAATGTATAGGTGTGTATTGTATGCTAATGTTATTTTTTAACAAAGTATTATTGTTTGGTAATTATTTGTTACTTTTGTCTGCTTTTTATTACAATACAATGGATTGAAATGAACAATTCATAATCATAATAGAAATATTTTATATTTTCCTCATTTTATTTATAAACAATATACATCATACAATTTTATCTTGTAAATCTCTCTGCTATTAAACGCTCTTGGATGCGACGTGCGATAGCAAGAGGTCCACGAATATCATTAATATCATGAGCATCACCACAATTTTCATTTATATGTTCGTGATCAATTTCATCTAATAGAACATCATCAACTATGCCGTGAGCATTCCTCATATTATGGAGGACTGCGCAAGCATTGACAATTCTCCCAGCAAAGCCAGGCTCATACTGCAAAACTCTGTGTCGAGAAAGACATCTCCAAGTAGATTTCAGTACACCAAAAAGACGTTCGATACAATTTCTTGCACTACATAATGCTTCATTATAGGCAAAACGTGGAGTACCTTCCAGCTCTCGGGGCAAAGGAGTCAACAGCCACGGTTCTAGCGGATAGCCTGAATCACCTGTATAAACAAAATGTACTAGATTTATTTCAGCTCCGTTTAAAAATTTTTAATAAAAATTTAGATTTAAAACAAAAATAACTTAAGAATTCATTAAAACAGACAATATAAAATACATATGGCTTACGTAAATTATATATCAACAATAAAATTGTCTTTCTACAGCAATAATCTCTAACATAAAATATTCTTAATAACAATTACCAATAAGATATGTTCGTCGTTCACCACGATTGTATGCACGTTCCATAACTCGTCGCGCAGCGGAAGCGCTCCATATATATGCA